CAAAAGTTATAGCTGCTAAAACATTTTGTGTTGTTCCTTCTTTTCGTCCTCGAAACTTTCCTTAAATCTCAACAGGTACATTTGCAGGAATATAGATACCATCAATTGCTCCCAGACAATCCTATATAAACATAAAAAAATAATTTATAACCTTTTCTTCTAAATATAATCAATTAATTCATAAAAATATTGGTTTTGTTTTCATACCTTAAAATAAGGATAGAATCTTCTATTATTTATTATCTCTGCTGGAACTGCATCCTCTGGATCTTTAATAAGGTATTTGTATAACTTAAGAACTGCTTTTAAAATAATTCTAAAGTAACGATGGATAGTTTGAACAGACCTATAGTATATACCACTAATAACCTGAAATCTTTGGTTTTGGCCTATAATTTGTAAGAACACAATTACTTGCTCCCTAATAGACACATTTTGAGTTGATTGTAATGAGTTACGACTTGTGAGAATATCACACAATCTATATAATACAACAGGTTTCATATGAATTTGTTCAACGCAATGTCGATCACCTTGATTCAAAATGCTGTCAATATAGAATTCTCGTTGAGCAATTGCATTAATACGTGGTTCTCTTGGTATATAAATTGTATTTCTTTCTTGTTCAATAATAGCTACCCCTGTAGCTATCACAGTTACAGCTGCTCCCATGCATACTGCATTAATTATCTTACTATCCATAACATGAAAGTGAAGTTTTCTGATAACAAAACCTAAAAATATAAGGAAATAAATATTAAAAAAAGCATATAAAATACTTACACAATTAATACAATAAATTATGCTCAAAGAAGCTGACAATATACAATTCATAAGTTCACAATGATCAATAAGATCAATCATTTTAATTCTTAAAAATAATATGATTATCAAATAATTAAATAAACATAAGTTTCAAAAATCACCTCATATGTGGCAACACAACACATGATCGAGTTCATGACAAGGTTCAATTATATTATATTTTGATTTGTTAATTATAACCATAGAGATTGTTGAGTTCATGGCTAGGTTCAATTCTATTCTATTTTGATTTGTTAATTATAACCATAAAGATTGTTGAGTT